ATTGTGTTTATAAATTGTTCAGTTGCTTTGGCATATGACCTTAGTCCTCTATATGATGTCTGTGTAGCATATTTCAACAGCTCAGGTATTACATTCTTTCACACGAATATATGCAACCTCATTTAAAGTTGTCGATCGAGATAGTAATTAGCATCAAAATTATTTTATGTATCTTTGGCAGTGCTTATGAATGGCTTTAATTTGACTGCAAGGATCCCAAGCTTGTACAAGCAGAGGATAGCAAGGAATACATCTAATGCACTTTGATCCAAAATGATAAAGGCGTATATATATTGTTAGTTGTGGGTTCAATTGAGCCTATCATCTTGGCTTATGTACTAGGGGATGCAGTAGATATGCTATGATTTTATCTGTGCCCAATAACTTTAACTCAATCATATATATATATAGTAAACTTACTAAGTACAAATAATAAACATTACTAAGTACAAATAATAAATTTTAAACCTAGTAAATCAAATGGGGTTGTGGTAGAAGCTCGAACTCGAACTGGACCCATAATCTTGGAAGGAACTGTTGACGTGGGGTTCATCACTTCGAGTCCAGAACATCGTTTATTTATTTCAAAGACCCATAAGTTCTGTTTCTAAATCAAATCCTGATATTCCTACTGATCTTGCCAAGGCTTTCCAAGTTGACCACAACACAATAAATGATCACATGATTCAGTAGCTGTTCTAGACGTTCTTTTTAACTCAACTAAGGATGATGTGTCTGATTTGTTCATTTGTACAAGTGATTCTTCTGTTTTTAGTGGTTCTAATCCCCTCATTCTGTGAAATAGTTTACTAATTTCTTATTATTCTTTACATGTTCAATTGAGTGAGATGCCAAAGTGACGCATATTCTTTTTCCTTCTCAATTTCTACTTTGAATATTATTGTTTGCATATTTTTTTCTCTTCTCCTTTAATATAAACATGGAAATATTTAGTCTAAGCTTAGTTAAAGCTAAGCTGTTCTTTTTTAATAGAACCCTTCATAAACATGAAGAGACCTACCAATACAAAGTGAGATCAATAATTTCCATAATAGCTTCCCAACCGAAGTTCCAATCATTTACTCTGTAGCTTTTCATTTTTTGTTAGTTTAACAATTTTCCCGTTAGTTAAAGAAAGCAAGAAACTTCCTAGTGTCTGTACAAAGCAAAAGTTTAACCAGCGAAAGATGCTTGACCTGTAATTTACTAGATACGTGTATGTACAGAAAAAGTCCTGTTCAACAAAAGGGCATTCTGAAGATCTTTTATTGTTAATAAAGGCAGTCACCTATCCACGTGCCTGGAGGTTTCATTTTTGACAATAATTTGCTGCTGACTTTCAAGACAAACACGGAAAGAGGAAGGTTCAATGGGACAATCATGCGCAACTCCAACACTTATATTCCCACCAAAAGCGAATAGGTGAAAGAGCAACAAAAAAGTTGGAAATTTTTTGTACAACATTGATTATGGTCACGTTCTTATGATCAGAGGGTTACGCGTGTTATTTCTCACTTTATGAACAGGCACAGGCCTCCAAGTCACAAGCTAGACTAAATTATTTTTTTTTATTTTGTGTCTCACACAACTGACATTAGTTGTGTGAGGCCTGTTTTGTTATCTCACAACTTTGTAATCCGAATTTTGTTGACCCAAATATGTTAGATATGGGTCCACAAATATGTGAGATAAAAAGTGGCCTTATGTAACGGCCTGACTGGTCGTTTCGAGAATTGTAGCTCCGTTCCCCCATTTTTGCTCCTTTTGTTCTCTACGACTGTTATATGACTTACCGGTTTGGTTGGTTCGGGTCCGAAGATATTTCAGAGTGAATTGAGACACTTAGTCTCATAATTGAAAGCTTAAATTGAAAAAGTTGACCGGATGTCGACTTATGTGTAAACAACCTCGAATTTGAGTTTTGATGGTTCCGTTAGCTCCATTGGGTGATTTTGGACTTAAGAGCGTGTCCGGATTGTAATTTGGAGGTCCGTGGTAGAATTAGGCTTGAAATGACGAAAGTTAGAATTTTGGAAAGTTTGACCTGGAGTGGACTTTTTGATATCGGGATCGGATTGGATTTCCGGAAGTTGGAGTAGGTTCGTGGTGTCATTTGTAACTTTTGTACAAAATTTGAGGTCAATCGAACGTGATTTGATAGGTTTCGACATCACTTGTAGAATTTAAAATTTTCAAAGTTCATTAGGTTTAAATCTGTGTGCGATTCGTATTTTTGATATTGTTTGAGGTAGTGTGAAGGCTCCACTAAGTTCGTACCGTGATTTAGGACTTGTTGGTATATTTGGTTGAAGTCTCGGAGGCCTCGGGTTGATTTCGGGTGGCTAACGGATAAAGTTGGATGTTGAACGATTGCTGAAGTGTGATTCCTGCTGGTGTAATCGCACCTGCGGATAGGGAACCGTAGGTGCGAGCCCGCAGAAGCGGGAAGGAAGCCGTAGAAACAGCCAAGGAAGTGAGGCAGCGGATAGTCGCAGGTGCGAAGGATTTCCCGCACCTGCGTGACCGCATATGCGGCAGAAGGACCGGAGAAGCGGATTTGGCCGTGTAGCTGGCCTCCACAGAAGCGGATATTTGTCTCGCAGAAGCGAGTCCGCAGGAGCGGAAACTTGGATGCAGGAGCGGAGTTAGTCGCAGAAGCGGGCTCTGAGGCACAACTGCGAGGCCACAGAAGCGGCTAAATTGCTGCAAGTGCAGAAAGCCTAGGCAGAAACTATATTAGCGAGGGTTTCGAGATTTACACCACTTCTAACATTTTGAGCTTGAGTTTTGGAGGTTTTGAGAGGACTTTCAAGGGGATTCTTGAGGTAAGTTTCTTGTGTTCTTTTTTCTTCAATGAATATGTTTCCCCACTGATTTTTCATCTAGTTGGTGTGTTTTTTAGGTGAATTTTAGGGGTTTGAGCCTAAGGATTTGGAGAGTTGATTTTCGGGATTTGAATGGCCATTTGGTGTCGGATTTTGATAAATTTGGTATGACTAGAATTGTGAGTGAATGGGCTTTCGAATTTTGTGACTTTTGTCGTATTTCGAGACGTGGGTCCAGGGGTCGGCTTTCAGCCAATTTCGGATTTTTGGCTTATAATTTCGTATTTTTCTTTGTGGAATTGATTCTTTTAGCCCGTATTGATTGTATTGTACTATTTGTGTCTAGATTCGAGACATTTGGAGGCCGACTTGCAAGGAAAAGGCATATTGGAGTATAGTTTTGCTCGTACTTAGGTAAGTAACAGTTCTAAATCTGGTTCTGAGTGTATGAAACCCCGGACTTATGCGTTATGTGATTGGTTTGGAGGTGACACACATGCTAGGTGACGGGCGTATGAGTGTGCATCGTAGGAATTGTGACTTGGTCCATTCTGTGGAACTATAAAGTTGAATAACTTGTTGTTAGCCATATGCTCTCCCTGTGTTATAGAAATTTGACTGCTAATCATATTAGAAATCATGTTTAGGCTATATGTTGATACTGTTGGGATCCGTAGAGGTCGTGTACTTGTTGAATTATTTGCTAATTACTATCTTATACTCAGTCACAGTTTTACTTGCGTATCATATCTCAGTCTCTTCTTGTTTCTTATTGATGCATTATGTTATTTCTGTTTGGTCTGATCTTTATGATTTCTGAGAGACTGGAGAGGTGTGACTGAATTATGGCCTGAGTGTCGAGCTGTGAGCTATATGTATATATACGGATCGAGTTGCACGCCGCAACGAGCCTTAGGACAATATGTATATGGATCGGGTTGCAAACCGCAACGCCTTATGATTGTACATATATGAATCGGGTTGCACATCACTACAGGCCTTATGGATATATATATTATGAGATCGGACTGCATGCCGCAACGATATAGCGCTTGGGCTATAGGAGCCCCTTCGGAGTCTGTACACCCCCAGTGAGCGCAGGTACCTATTATGAGTGTTGAGGGCTGAGAGCCAAGTGATGAACTATTGGGAAAGACAGAGTGACTGTTGCCCTGTGAAGCTGTATTTGCTTTCATTGTTGTTGCACATAGCTGCTATATGTCACTGTTTTGAAACTCCTGGGAGATATTATATCCAATTTTTAATTGAACTTGACATTTAAAAACCGATTTGACTTAAATTGCCGGATTTGAAAGCATGTCTACTGTCTTATTGAGACTACTGCAAATGAACTATAACTGTGTAGCTTGTCACTTTCTTTCAGTTCCTTATTTATTATTGTTACTTACTAAGTTGGTTGTACTCACGCTACACCCTGCACTTCGTGTACAGATCTAGGTGTTCCCGGACACGGTGCACATTGATATCGTGCACGGCTGATCTTTGGAGATTACGAGGTAGCTGCCCGGCGTTCGCAGTCCTTGTTTCTCCTTCCTTATCTTTTCTTGAATTGTATTTTGATACAGACTCTTGTAGACCTTTCTTTTCTAGACCGGTGATGTATAGATGCTCATGAGTTCAGTGACACCCCAATTTGGGAGCTATTTTCCGCATTTGTGTTTTGGGTTTTAGCCTGTTTTGAAAACTCTAGTTATTTGAATTTCTTAATTATCTAAGTATTTTGAAATTGTCGGCTTACCTAGTACCACGATAAGCATCATCACAACAGATTAGGATTTGGGTCGTGACACCTTAGTTGTGTGAGGCACATCATAAAATCACTCGCTAGACTATCAGAATCAATGATGATTTTCAACGTAATGTTACGGTCTTCAGTGACCACATGCGTATTTTTCCAATGTGAACAACAACTTTCAGTGACAACAACCTTCAATCCCAAATAAGTGCGGGTCGACTATATAAATTGTCACAAACCATGTTTCTCTACTTAAAACTCCTATCATGAGCATGCAAATGTAGTCCCAAAAGCACCAGTAGGTCAAAAGGATTTTAGCCTGAAAACAGATGCAGCAATTTCATTTCAAAATTCAAAGCTTGAAATCAGATTGGGAATTCATCAGATTTGCAAGATGCATTGAAGAAAAGAGGAAAACAAAGAAAAACAACACTTGTACCTTTATTTTTCTTTAAAAATGAAAAACACTTGTACTTACTTGAGAGACATTTACACAGACGAAACATAAAAATGAGTCAGGAGACTGGAAGAACCAAACATACATCTACTAGATAATGCCGAAATTGAAAGTGTATTATATAATCAAGGTAACTGCTCTTGCTGAAGTAGTTGCAGTGGACATAGCAGTTGCTGCTGCTCCTGCTCCGAGAGTTGTTGCAGGTTATCTGAACGTTGTTGTTGCTGAAGCTGACTATTTGATTGCTCATCCAGCTGCTGTTCGGACTGTTGAGGTGGTTGTTCTAATTGCCACGCCCAAACAATATCCTGTAAACCAGGCCTCAGGCCTTCATTTAAAATTTTCTGATATTCCAATGTATCTCCATTGGACTTCTTGACCTCCACCAAATAAAAAGCTGGAGTTACCTCAAAGATCTCCGTGTCAATTGATAAAATCCCCTTTCTTCCTTCTTTTGAACCTTCAAACCTTAACAATCCTGCATCCCTTTTGCTGACTTTTAGCTTCAGGCGCTTTGCGACATCTTCCAGCTTGGATACGATGACTGATGCAGGTTTGCAGGATGTGAATCTAGCTTCTTTCTTTAAAGGAGTATCCTCAAATAATCTCGATAAATCAAAGCCAGCAGAAAGGGAAATGATATCAAATGCATTCAAGTTTGACAGCCTGGCCACGTCTTGCTTGTTCTCAGAGGAACCAGCAGCCGACTCTGTACATGCTGAAGCCAGATCCTTCCTTTCAGTGTCTGCTTTGATAGATTTAGAGGCTATTCCCCTCTTGGACCAGGAACTTTCTTTAATTTTGGCAATTGAAATTCTAGTATGTGGATTGGGATCCAACATTCTCACAAGTAGCCGCCGCACTTCAGGGGGGAACCAACTGGGACATTTGAACTCAGATTTGCCAATTTTCCTGTACATCTCCATCAAATTCGAGTCATGGAATGGAAGATAACCAGCCAACAACACATATAGGATCACCCCACATGACCAGATATCAGCTTTTGCCCCATCATACCCTTTTCTATTGATCACCTCAGGAGCAACATAGGCTGGAGTCCCACAGGTAGTGTGAAGGAGTCCATCTTGGCGCTTTGACTCAGCAAGAGCACTTAAACCAAAATCAGAAATTTTCAAGTTTTCATCCTCGTCTAGTAGTAAGTTTTCTGGTTTCAAATCCCGGTGATAGACACCCCTGCTATGGCAGAAATCTACAGCATTTATCAACTGTTGAAAATATTTTCGTGCAACATCCTCTTTAAGCCTTCCTCTGGACACCTTGTTAAAGAGCTCACCTCCTTTAACATATTCCATCACAAAATAAATCTTGCTCTTTGTGGCCATGACTTCATAAAGGTGCACAATATTAGGATGTCGAACTAGTCTCATAACTGATATTTCCCGTTTTACCTGATTCACGAGCCCAACCCTCAAAACTTTTTCCTTATCAATGACTTTGATGGCAACATTCTGCCCAGTCCTGATACTCCTACCATAGTAAACCTTAGCAAATGTACCTTGTCCTAGTAATCTCCCCAATTCATATCGCTCCAACAGTATAGTTCCCGTATTGGCCATTCAAACTCTACGAAACCCAGTACTATTATAGTAAGCAATCCTCTCTTGGCTAGTACAATCTGTTCACCAGATATGTGCTGCTCAACCATCCTCGCATAAATCATCCATCAGTGTGACAGGCAATATACAAATATTCCACCTAGGTTGCATCTTGGCACAAAAGGTGAAGCTGTGGTCACTGCGCCGAGGCTGAATCTTTTTGGGAATGAAAAAAGACAACTCTGCTAAGCTCAAAACCTTATGAAGAACAATTTCGGACTCCCAAACACTCAAACACATCTTTCAGCATATCCTAAAATCCTCTCTTTTGAAGAACCAGAAAAATTGTTTAGTAGATGTGCAGGGAACCAAGTAGGTGAACTACCACAGCCCACTTACAGGATGAGAAACAAAAATTTACTAAACTCACCAGCAAGTACCTGTGTCAGGTTGGAAGAAACTATTTTTAGTAGCTAAATGATGTTCTACACTTCCAATAGAATAGTATTCCTTAGCAAATGCGCAGCCAAACAAATGATGATTAACCATACATTCACAGCATTTTTCTTAAATCGAATATCATATTTCAGTTTTTCCAAGTCAATGAATAAAACTATCTATAGCTGTTAACAGCTGCTGCAAGGAAGAACTAAAGCAAGGTGTGATAAAACAAGCATGTGTTAGCTCTAAATCTATGTTAGATATATGCAAAAGGTATGAAGAATACTCAAATATCTAAATGAAGCTTAGCAAGGAAATTTGTAAAAGTATTGAACCTTCTGAAGGGGAGCCTTGGAGCAACGGTCAAGTTGTCTCCATGTGACCTATAGGTCACGGGTTTGAGCCGTAGAATCAGTCAGATACTTGCATCAGGGTAGACTATCTACATTACAACCCGTTGGGGAACGACCCTTCCCGGACCCTACGGGAATACTTTATGCAACGGGCTGCCTTTTTTTATTCGTATTGAACCTTCTAGAAAATCAACTGAAGAGGGTGCATTAAGGAAGGAAAACTATGCCATAGAACATTGATGTCTCCTATCACTAAACCATTTTTCTATAATTTTCGGAATTAGCAATTCAAGTTATTTAACCAGAAAAAGAAAAAAAACGCAGGTACTAAATCAATATCGGAATGGAAATAACAAAAACAAAACAAAGAACAAAAGAAAACCAACAATTTGCTATAGATTCAAGAAAAGCGAACTCATCGATCAAACAGTTTAATAGATTTGGTTCTTCTACACACATATGAAACCAAACTCATCTCTCTGATAAAAGGGTCAATTTCAAACATACTAACTCAGAAAAACTAAGATGAAAAATAGCAAAGGCGGTGTTCGTTTATCTTGTCCAAACGAATTGACGAAACAAGAAACTTAAAAATAATTTTTATGTAAGCAAACCCCACTAAGAAAGAAAAAAAAAATAGAATAGTAGTTGTAGAAGGTGAAGTAAAACTACCTTAAAATAAGAGAAGCCCTAGAGTCAGAGTGCTTTTAGCTGTAGCGACCGTCTTTAGAAATGAGGATGTTGAAGAGTTTTCACCAAAAGAAGCAAGGGATGACAAATACGAGTGGCGACGTTGTATATGATTTGCGTAGGCAACTGTTATAAAACCACGGCGGGAGGAATCTTCCACTACGATAATGTCTAGGTGAATATCCTGGTCGAATTTCTCAATTTTGACCGAAAACTCACGACAAAATAGAGATACTTCTGTGATCCCCAGTTGCGGGGTACCACATGTTAACGTGGTCGGTTTGGTCATTGACGCATGACACCCCCCAAATTTTTTGTTAAAAGAAAGTGTAAATAAAAGTAGAAGATTGAAGCACCTTCAACTTGCAAGTGTGGTTATAAGCACTATTTTCTCTATCCTGTGGTATTTTTTGCTTCCCATTTAAACTACTTAAAATTTGATCAATATGTTACGATTCAAATCCCACCGAGACCGTGATAGTGCCTAGCCCAATCTGCTAGGCAAACCAACAACAAAAACATAATTCAACTGGAACGAATTTTTATACAAACTATTCGAAGATATAAGTCATGAGCAATTAAGATTTAGAATCATAACATTAGTATGAATAAAAATATATCATTTGTTTGAATATATATAATAAAAAATATAAGTCCTAAACTATAATGAACATAATGGTAGCTTGCAACAGGAACATTGGTTCATCCTCCATGCTAGCCCTCGGCTCCCCCAACAGTTCAGCTCTAAAATCTACATGCAAGGTGCAAAAGTAAAGTATGAGTACAATCGACCCCATGTACTCAGTAAATATCAAGCCTAATAATGAAGTAGCAGCGAGGTATTAGTCAAAGATACTTACTTATATAACTTGTGCAGCTCATAAGCATATAAGATAATAGAGAAATAACCCAAAAATAACCAAAAAAAAAAATCAGATATCAATAATAAGATGCACAGTCAAGCGGAAAATAATAAGCATGTTTTTATCATAATAAGGCCAAAAGCATACACAAATACACCAAATTCGCATATAATGGGGATATGCTTCAAGCATCATTAACTCGAATACTCCTACATGAATGTAGAGTGTCTATGTATGATAAAGATACGATTTTACATTAATTTCCAAATAGCATTTATATGAATGCTCCTTAATGAGTATAAAATGTCTATGTATGGTGAAGACTCAACATTTACATTAATCTTGCACTCTTCAAGTGTCCAATAATTCACTAAGAATGTATCATGCATATGTATACTACATGAATGTACATATATAGATTATATGCATGAATGTTTTTACATGAGTCTAGAATGTTGATGCATGCTCAAAAACCATAGCAAATATCCCGCATATCTCATATACTCCAACATGATCCAGCATATCCCATATGCTCCAACACGATATGTGTATCACCTGCGCTCACAAGACCAATGTAACAAGGGTGATCACCCGACTCCGAAGGGATAGATCAATATTCAAGCGCCACACAACTACTCATCATGCCATAACATATCAATATCATAATAACCACTAGACATAAACCATTGTGCCATAACAATATTAATTCGCTTATAATGTGCCATAATCATATTAATACGGATCAAGATCTCCATCTCTAAAAACATATTCATATACTCAAGAAAGAACAATTAACTTGCACAAAGACATAGTAAATAGAGATGTGGATGGGTGTGTGTTCATGATATAAAGCATGACTGTGGCTAAATCAAATATATCAATATCTCAAGAAAAGTTTATGATGCCAAAATAAGATGTCATAAGCCTAGACATGATCTGTATCATGAATAAATAAGCTCACCTAGTCATACAGTAAAAAAATATAATTTAAAAAGAGCACACAATCAAACAAGGCACAAAAAGCCTAAAACTACCACAAATATATAATCTCGATGAACACATATATGTTCATCATCTTGCATATACGCCATCCCTAAATATGCAGACAATAGCATATAAGTCAATTAGATTTTAGGAAAATTCCATCAAGTCCAGGTTAAGCAAGATACTTAACTTTCACGATCCAAAATTTCACCAATTATCGTGATGGTACCTAGCCTCCAAAACTAGGTAAGCCAATCATACGATGATAGAAAACAACGAAATAAAAAGAATAAGCCAGAATTTGACATAAACAGCGGAATAAAGTTCTAATAAAACCAATACAATGGTACATAAGACAAACTCACAACACCAAGTAGTACAAACAAGTCTAAAAAAGTACAATCTGTATGAAAGTAATACAACATTATGAAAATAAGGGAAAGGGACTCCAAGGGCCTGCGACATCCATGCATGTCACGATCCAAAATCCTAACCCACAGGGTCGTGATGGAGCATAACATTCTTGCTAGGTAAGCCAACACATAACAATAAATAAGTAAAAAAAAGGAACTAACGGTTAACATTAATCTAATATCATAGGATAAAGATAACTCAAAAACATACCATATGAGTCTAAAATCCGACATCGCCAATCAACCATCCCAAGATGTGGATTCACGAGTACATGAGCTACTGGAGTTTGCTACATATATTGGCTTAAAAGAAATAAAATACTGTCTGGTAAAAAGAAACAATACAGAAGAAACAGAAAGACGACTCTAAGGCCTGTGAACAGTATGCAGCTCTACCATGGGTCGCATGTCTGGTATCCGCTAAGCACCTCTCCGGACTCCGCTGGTACTAATATCTGAATAGTGTAGTATAAGTACAACTGACACAATGTACTCCATAAGTATCGACCCTAACCCCCATGAGGTAGTGACGCGGCTAAGACAAGACACCTATATATAAACAAGTGCAGTTAAGTGACAAGAAATGATGAAATAACAAGAAAAATAGCAAGTAAGATAACATGATGACAACATGAGAGTGAATGAACAGGTACATAAATAAAGAGATATAGAACGAGAAAATAAAGGAAGGTACAACTAGAGCAAACCACAACTTATGCTTCCACACCAACACCAAACAACCTTTCGAAATAACTGGGAAATAACATAGCCAAGTCCTCCGCTGATATAGCAAGAACACAAAACATAAGGTAATATAACAATAGCATGAAAATACCTATCATACATGTTCACTCCTACTCACAAGCACGGAAGCACCCGCCTGCGCAATGTCTCATCTCACAGCAAAGAAACACCCGTCCTGCAATATCTCTTAACACAACACGAAAACACCCACCATGCATATCTCTCAGCCTCACAACACAAAATACCCATCGTAAAAAACCTCTCAACCTCATCACAACATGTGAAATCAGTACCAAACAAGATGAGGAACAACAATAACATCAATAAAAATGTTTACGTACTATGTTGTAACGATCCGACCGGTCGTTTTGAGCTTTTGCACTTTGCGCACCAGTTCTTGGGCATGAATAGCCCTGTGTGATGTATTATGACCTATGTAAATTGTTGGTTTTAGTTTTCAGGGTAATCGGAATGGATTTGGAAGAACATTTCTCAGTTTGAAGCTTAAAATTTGAAAGGTTTGACCATGTTTTCAATTTTCAGTATTCGATCTCGGATTTGGAGTTTTATCATTTGGTTAGCTCCATTAGGTGATTTGGGACTTATGAGCGTGATCGAAATGTATTTTAGAGGTCCGTGGAAGGTTTAGACTTGAATTGGCAAAAATGTTTGGCATTCTCCGGTTGGTAGTGGAAATTTTAATATCGGGGTCAGAATAGAATTCCAGAAGTTGGATAGGTCCGTTGTGTCATTTGTTATGTGTGTGCAAAATTTCAGGTCATTCGAACGAGGTTTAATAGACTTTTGATCGAATTCGAAACTTGGAAGTTTTTGGAATTCATAGGCTTGAATCCGATGATGATTTGATATTTTGATATTTTTTTGAGTGCTACGAAGGTTGGAACAAGTTTGAATGATGTTATGGGATATGTTGACATGTTTGGTTGAGGTCTTGAGGGCCTCGGGTTAGTTTCGGGTGGTTAACAGACCAATTCTTGGTTTTTGAGAGTTGTAGATTTTTCTTCTGTTCTGTTGCAGAATTTTGTTCTTCGCGTTCGCGAAGGGTTGTTGAGAGAGGCAGCTGGTTTGCTCTTCGCATTCACAATGTAAGTTCCGCGTTCGCGAAGGTTCTTGAGTTAAATCTACGCGTCCGCGAGGAGCGTTCCGCGTTCACGTAGGGTCGGTTGTTTGGTCTTCGCGTTCGCGGGTGGGCCTTCGCGTTCGCGAAGAAGGGAATTTTGGCATGAGGCAAATTGTGCTTCGCAAACGCGAAGGAGCCACCACGTTTGCGAAGACGGAAATAATACCTGGGGCAGAATGTTTAAAAGTGGGTTTTGCGATTTTTCGGTCTATTTCCTCCATTGTTGAGCGATTTTTGGAGCTTTTTGAGAAGGATTGCAGATGGAATCGAAGGGAAACACTTGGAGGTAAGATTTTTGAACTCAATACTCGATCCTATGTTGATTTTTACTTGTTTAAACATGAAATTTGTGGAATTTAAAGCATAAAATTGGGGAATTAGGGCTTAAAATTGGAGAGTGTAAATTGGGGATTTGAGGGGCCATTTGAGATCCGATTTTGATGTTCTTTGTATGTATGGACCCGTGAGAGGATAAGGATTCTATTGATGTGATTTTTATCTAATTTCGAGACGTGAGTTCAGGGGTCAGGTTCGGCCAATTTCGGGATTTTTGGTGTAAATTGGTTATTTTCGAGTGGGCGTTATTCCCTTAGCATGTTTTGATGGTATGAATCTGTTTTTGGTAAGATTTGGAGCATTCGGAGGCCGAGGGAGAGGAAAGGGTATCGAGGGCTAGAGTTTGGATAGGATTGAGGTAAGTAATGATTGTAAATTTTGTCCTGGGGGTATGAAACCCCGAATTTCACATCGTTGTGCTACTTTGAGGTGACACACACGCTAGATGACGAGAGTAGGGTCATGCACTATTGGGGATTGTGACTTAGTTCGTCCTGTATGACTGTTAAACCACGTATTTGATTGAAAACTATTTGCTATCATTATGTTTTGGAAAGTATTATCATGTTTTGGGCTGAATGTCATATTTGGGCCTCGTGCTAACATGTTTGGACCGTTAGGGGATTTTTACTACTATTCCTCACTGTTTTGACTTCATAGTTGTACTCAGTCATGTTGTATTGTACTATTTTCATAACTCAGCCATATTTACTCGTTTTGAT